GAAGACGCGACGAAAATGAGTTCCGGCGAAAAAATTTCGGCTTCCGCCTTTATATTTTCCTATGTCCTTTGATAACAGCGTCCATGCCCAAATTTATTTTTAATTGTATTTCATAAAACTTCTATTTACTTAGACCGCCATAGCTTTTTGTGTTATTTTAGATACTCTGTACAAGTCTTGAATTTATTGAAGGGTATAGGTAACTCAAGTGGAGAAGCATACCGCCATATAGTACCATCTAAAACGGGTCCAAATCCCTCTAATAATATTTTTAACAGCGAGGATTTAAATTTACAAACTTCAAGTGTCGAGTTACATACACGATTGTTTTTGTTTACTTTTAACGTATGGTGGTAGATCTGACTTGTCACTTGTTCACATCACTTTCTTATTACAGGCCAGTTATTTTTCCCAGGACCTCGAACCCAGCAGTCTTTTTAAACCTACGCTGTGCATAATTTAAAGAACACATAACAAAGACGTATTCTTTACATCCATTTGTAGTTTTATTCGAGCCATAAATAAGGCCAAGACAGGAGACAAAGGAAAACTTTTACGCACGTACTACATTGAAAACTGAGTTTTCCATTCAATTTGCGAGAGCATAAATTCCAATGTGGCCCGTAATGTACAGTCTACACGTGAAATGACACCATAATTTACTTCTCAATGTACGAATCCGCAAACTTTTAAGGTCGACCTAAAAGTTTTGTTAATTACCAGCGCACGGATCCGACACGATTTTACTTACGGCAAGTAGAACACTGTTCATATAATGTGACGTCGGGTCCTAATTTAAAATAAGCCAGTTTATAATATAAAGTGGTCGGTGCTATGCTACGAGTATATCCGGTTTGAATTCCAGAAACGAAAATAATTCGTTTTGATTGCGTAGATGATTCCGAAATAATCAACTTATCTGTTAATAGCGGGCTCTGACGGGTTTGTTACGGTAGCAATGTATGATCAACAGGTCGTGAATTCGATTCCCACGGAATCTAAAATAATCAATTTATATTTTTATGAAACAAGTTACATTTCGTCGGGGTAATGGGTGGTAGGAATACCAAAATGCCGTCTGAGTCTGTATCGCGTTTCGGATTCAATCTGTGGATATCGAAGGCCAAAATAGGTCGATACGGCATGTCTCTAAGATGTTAAATGGCTGGCAGTATTTTACCTACTATATACAAACGCGAAAAAAAGAAAATAACTGATTTAGGCTTTTGTTTCAGCCTTAAATGTCGTAGTCGTAAGGTGTAAAGGATTCAAAATGGAATATTTAGTCCCTAGAGTATTAGCGGGTCGTGAATCAAACAAGCTGGCGGTCGATTGCGTACTTCCGAGGTAAAACAAACACTTATTTTCGTTACATACGTTTAAAATCTTTTGCTCTCGTTGCGGTTATAATTAGCAATCACGTTTTATTCTTTCTTAACTTGAATTATAACTTCAACTTTGACTGTATTGGATTACAACTCTTACTTACTTTGAGTTTATAGATGCCATTGCTGTCCTTATTTTTTCCTTTATTCCTCCTGCCCTCCCTCTTATTAATTATATCTATAATATATAAAGCTAAAGAGTTTGTTTGTTTGTTCCGATGCGTACGCCGCTAAAACGGTTTTAGTAACCCAAAAAATATGTTGACAAAATGATTCCTCTTTAAATTATCTAAAAAATGTTCCGGGCACTATATGTCTATCTTTTAATTTATAGTGAACTTAAATGTATAATGATGAAGGTTTGCACTGTCAAATTTGTATGCCCAAAATAACTATTCTACGCGGATGAAGTCGCTGACACAGCTAGTTACTTATAAAAAAATATATATCTAGCTAACTACTTAGTTTCCCTTTTTTGTTAGTAGTTAATTAACTTTTTTATCTAATTTAATAACAGATGAATTGATCTTTTGATATACACCGTGTGAAGTTTTAATCTAATCATGTTTATTTGTTAACTACGTAAAACATAAATAAACTGTAAAATCACAATTTGTCGACCGACAGTTTACAAACTGTCTAGATTAGATAGAGCTTGTACTGTAACGAATCCCAATCTTACGTTAACGTGCACTATCTAGCCATCGTATTGATCGTAAAGCAAGAAAATCCGGAATTTATTGCACACAAGCACAGACTACAGACTACAGACTACGGAGCATAGTATAAAGGCTGCGCACTGCTGCATTGACCGCACTTGGCAACAATTCTCTGCCAGTTTGTGCCAAAACTATTTTGTTTTTCAAATTGATTTCCCCGAACGATGAACGGTTGAATTTCGTTTTTGGCAGCGCCTTGATTTATTTAGCCGGAATTGATCTGCATAGACGGAAACTACTCTATTACGCCACATTTAAATACTAAAGAACGTGTTTTCATGAGATTTTTTTTATAATAAAGGAGCTAATATCTATTCTAATATATAAAGCTGAAAAGTTTGTTTGTTTGAACGCGCTAATCTCGGGAACTACGGGTTCGAATTGAAAACTTATTTTGTGTTAGATATATTATTTATCGAGGAAGACTATAAGTTATAAGCCATTGCCCTGTAACTAATAACAGCGAAGATACGGCGGGAAGTGAAAAACGCAAAAACGGTTCAAGATAGCCAAAAAATATGTTTGAAAGGATGATTTCTCTTTAAATGATCTTAAAAAAAAGTCCGCAAGTTTCAGAAACTGCCGAACTAAAACGATAAACCTCTTCTTTGTAACATTCATAATGCCTTGTACATACCTAAATAATAAACTTTAAATAAATACATTAACTCTTTCACCACATGTAAACATAGAACGTATGACGTAGTTCTCTCTGCCCATCTTCACTTAAAGTGACACAAATTGCGATCAATATCGATCAGGCTACTTAGCTATGTAAAACCTGCTATTCTTACATGTTTTCGTCATAAAAATATATTAAAAAGCCATATTTCGGAGAGCCTGCCGAGCCAGGTGTCATTTTAAACAGTTTAGGCCTGTCATCCCGCTCTATAGGAGTGGTGGGTCTGAATGTACACTTGTGTAACGTGAATTTGTTGAAAGGACTATGTATTATTTATAAATAGAAGTGACTTAACACTTTTCTACTCGGGACGAAAATTGACTGCAACTGAAACCGCAAATTAAAGTCCTTGATATAACGTACGCCAGCTTCATGAAACTCGTGAAATATTTATTCAAACAGTACAGATGCGGTTCCGTTTCGTAAATAAACTGAAAACAAGTAGCAATCTGTCGCAGTCTGTGGTCCGGATGGTATAGGGTTGCCAATCGTGGATAGATACTATAATCTCGTAGTGTACGATACTTTGAGCGTCCTATGTATTCACAGATATATGGCAAATACTTTCATGGATTCAAATATAGACAAATAAAAATTTTAATATTATAATTATAAGCCGAATGAATGTTCTCATGTATTAGTTCTAAAAAATTCATTCCTAAAAGTCTACTTCATATTTGTATGCTGTCTGTATTTGTTCTTTCTATCTTCTAAATCCAGTACTCAGAAAGGGTCCTTTTATAATTCGGACTCTTTCCACTTTCCTCAAAGTACTAACAAGCATTACAAGCGTTACAAAAAATAAAAGAACGAACCAAAGTTTCTTCCTATTTATAGTATTGGATGGTAAAGTAAAATACCATTCTACGACACAGCAGCATACAACATTCTTGACTGACAATACTATTCGTATTAGGTTTCAATCTGTTACGCCTGATCGAGTCTACTTAGCAAATCTTATTACTCACTATCCCTTAAATAAAATATTCTTGAAGCATCAGCGAATCTAAAATATGATATATGTAGTCGAATCATTATCAATTGTATAATGAATACACTATTTTGGTTCCTTGTGTATCTTTCGGCAATCACACACCCAATCCGTTCATTGTCACGCGAATGGTCAGGGATTAAATCGAATGAATAAAAGTTACAAAATCAGCGCCGTTTCGAAATAAATTCAATACATACAGATTAACGATTCATAAATTATTGAAGGCTTTCATAAAACGAAAATATTAATTAAAGTTTGCAAAGGACACTCGAGTAATTAATTCGTGAAATGTTCGTTTTATTCGCGACCGTTGTGTGGTTCACCTATTAAGGTATAAGTATGTAATGTATGTTAATATTGTGTTCATAGGAGCGATCATTGTTTATCGTTTCGATTGTAATAAAAACGTCTATAATAAACAATAAATAATATTAGCCGATTTTTTTTTTCTGGTCATTGGAAAAATGGTAGGTGGATTTCAAATATACAAATTTACATAACTGCTAAAGCTATGCTCCGTACTCGCATTTTATAGAAAAATATTTCTCTATTTTAATCATGCATATAGTCAATATCCTCTGTAACTAGAGCTGTATTTTATGAATTGCGTATTCGAAAAAGTGTGAATAATTGATAGACTGTTAACACGTATTGAATAAAAAAGTTGGTTTCAACATTTCCTTCGGTCTTATTTTTAAGCGTGTAATTAAATCAATTTACTGGCGCAAAGTCGACCCGAAAAAACAAGAACTATATACATACTAATTATTATATATTAAATTAGGTCCCCATGATCACAGTCGTAGAAAGCACAACGCCACAGCATCGAAGTAACGAAGTATCGAAGTAATAAATGTAGTGTGTTTTTAATCTGTCAAATTTATTGAATTTTAAGTCTTAAAATAAAATAACTATAAAATATGACGTTATGTGTACCACATGTTATTTAGAGCTTATTGTAGGAAGTCGACTTTCACCACGTTAATATGCAGTAAAGATAATGGTGAAATTTTTATATTTTAATAATTTAAAAATCACTTTTAGTTTGTAATATAGCAAATTACAAATAGATACGGACGTCATTTACCAAAATGATCTATACCAATCACTTTTTTCTCTACTATCAAATATTTAGATAACGGGTCAAATGTCATTGCCTTCCAAATAATTAACTCAGACGAAAAACAAATTTAATCTGGAACGCCCGAATTGAAGTGGAAATGTGGTTAAAAGTTTTATTACTCTCGATTTTCGGATGTCAGATAATTGTAAGTAAACCATAATATTTACATAAGTTTAAATAGTTTTTACTGGGAAAATTTACAATTTATTTGTTCAATAGATAAATAATACAGGAATACTTATGTAATCTACCATACATTATAAAATTGTGTAAATATTTTCTTCAGCTTACTTATGACCTTAGTGGAGTGATTTCTGGCAACCGAATGGCTGGAGTTCCACTTGGAAGGTCGCTTGGAGATGGCGAAGTGGACGTAGAGGGCATTTGCACCACATCAGGCATGGCATGCCAGAACTGCACCCACGCTGTGACTTGCGTACCACTCCCAATTGGGTGGTTAAAGGTATAAACTTATGGTCAATAATAATGACGTAAATAACTTAAATAGTCATTGTTTAATTAAACGTTTGCACGTTCTTTAATTAAGAAGGATAAAACTCACGTGTTAAACATATTTATTAAACTAAAACAGTAGTAGAAAAATTATGAATTTGTCTATATTTCGAATTGAAAAATTACTTCTGTATTAATTAGATCATTTATCGAGGAATGCTCTGAGCTATGAAACTTCACGCTGTGAATAATAGAAGCGAAGAAACAGTGGACATTTTGGAAAAACTTTTAATTTAATCAAAAAAATAATCATCTTTGTGGTGTTTTTCAATTGTTTTTATAAAAAAAGCGCCCTGAAAATAGTTGAAGATACCCAAAAATATATGGATCAAGGAATGATTTCTCTATGATATATTTAATAAATGTCCGCGACAGTTTGTTTGATTTCATTTTGATTGTCTTTTTTTAGGTACCACTTCAGCAGTGTTCTGGAGAACAGAGCTGCAACGCACACTTGGGTCAATGTTCTTCGCAGCATGTCCCGGAATGTGACGTGGTCAGCCAGAAGTACCAGCATATATGTGAACAGGTAAACTAATATTAAAAAAATCATGAAATTAAAATTATTTCTCATAAAGACTCAGAGTCTATAGTTTTATGATTCTATTCTAGGTTGGCATTTTCCCAGACGCTTATGATTGCAGAAAGTTCCACTTATGCTCGCCTCCTGTAGGTCTACCAGACGGAGCTCCAGCTGACCATAGAGTCGCGTTATGTCCAAGACACTATAGTTACAATCCTCAGACCGCTCAATGTTCGGTAAGCATTATGCTTATAATTTCTGGACAAATTATTGAAATTCTATAACGACATAGTATTTATATATAATATGTTGACAGTGATAACAGATCTTCTTTCTAGATCCCTCTACAGAACGGTCAATGTATTCGACGACCTGTTCCCGATTGTACGAGGGTTGGCCAATCAGGAGCTTTGGAGACGAGCTCAAACCATTACTACGTGTGCCTTTCCAAAGGTGGAACTCTTAGAGCACAAATATTTATTTGCCCACACGGCTGGCATTTCTCAAATGGGTATTGTCGTCCTGAGTTAATTGATTCTACGACAGCAAAATCTATCGATGAACCAACAAAAGCTACGAGAGAATCGAGACAAATGGAAGTTGCAACGACTGAAAAGACTACGAAGGTAGCAACATCGAAAATAGATGCGTTCTTCTCGACAGAAAAGCCTGTGACCTATGCGGCAGATACTTTCTTAGCTGATAGGTTTGACTTGGCTAATTACGAAACATTTGACGAGACGCATAGCGCCAACGACTTTCCAAATTCGTTTGAAGAGAGCAGCGATTTTTGGTAATTTTATTTAAGTAATATATTAAGTTAGTTATAATTCTGAGGAATAAACAAATAAAATAAAAACAATTTAGTTTCAATTTTAGGGCTAATTAAATTAAAATAGAACACTTTTATTGATAACATTTATTATTAGAACACTATTTAAATAGTATTGAAAGCTGGTGTTTCAACTTTTCCCGTATATAAAATAAAAGACATTTCTTTTTCATCTTCCATACTGTATCGTATTGAAGCGCCTTTGAAAGGTAGCTGAGCAATAAAACATAAAAACGTATTGCCATTAGTTAGATGAAAGGTGAAACGCTCGATAGTTCGCGCCAATTGAGAGTGACGTTGAGGAATAATTCACTCTGCCAATATCCTTCCTACATTCATCGTTTCCTATGTCATATGCGAATTTTTAGATCTTTTGGGAGAAATATTCTGTCTGAGTGAACTACTAGTAGTCCCTCTACCATCCGTGTGATCAAAAGTACGTACTCAATAAAAACTGTTTTATTTTTATAAATAAACACCTAAAATGCAGCTCCTTAGATTATAATAAATCGTATCGTTCTCGTATGCGATTCGAACCAAGATTTCTCGAAAGTAGCGCAATTCTGAGTAAATCTATATACCGACAATTATGAAATATATTATAATTTTGCTTATATGTACCTAATTGTAGAAATATTTACACAAAAATAAATGTGGTATTTTACAACACAACGAAGACATATTCGTTTTATAAACTGCATTACCGGAGTAGAGTTTTATCCTAAAAATAATCATCCTTTCAACCCCGCTGTTGTTTTAGGAGGGTAGGAGAAACAATTTTTAGCGAATTTTAGAAAATGTTGATATAAAAACATCTTTCCTGCTTGTAGTAAAGACAACAGTAGAAATTATTCCGAGTGCCGCTCAGCTCGTACTATCGTAATAACCTTTACAATATTATTCGCAGAGTTAGAGAGGATCGTGTACTTCTTAAGTTCATGTCCATTCCATAGTAAAATATTTGAGCGAACTCACTTGCAAATATTAATTATTTTCATCTCCTTTGTCAGGGCTTTTCTGAAGAGAAATCATGATTAAACAGAGTAAAATTTTGACTTAAACTAAAATTAATCTAAGGTCATTATTAAACATTTACGTAGTACGATTAAATATATGCTTTACCCTCAACAACATATATTTGAATACTCTTAATTTTAAAAACCTTTTAAGCCTATTGAGAAAATACTTAATGGAGTCGGCTTCGACTTCAACCAAATGAAAATATTAAGTCTTCTTATTCTTAGATAGTTAAAGCTTATCCAGTTCCTACAAAATATTCAAATTAGAAAATAGTATGATTTAAATGTTAGATATAGTATTTCCTGTTTTTAATGAGCAAAAAATAAACGCGGTCAAATAAGCTAAGTCCATCTCTTCACAACATATCTTAAAATATATGTCTAAGCTTCATTCAGTAATTACTATGTTCTTACGATCAAAACAAACCCGGTGTTATTTAAAACTGCCGTTATAACCGAATCTTAGCATCCAAATACCACGCGAACATGACCTTTCCAATACTAGAATTCTGCTAGTCATCGCTCTACACACGAGCGGAGCTAGAGTTTTTCGGAGACCATGGACTACGCTTTCCAATCTGTGCCAGGCAGCAATTAGTGAAATGGTAGCAATGTGTGGCTGATAATCAATGAGTCGTGGGTTCGTACCCCACTGAGTCGACGTAAACAGACTTCATCGGGAAATCTGGCTGTTAAATGAGTAGTAGAAATATCGAAATTTCTTCCAAACCACAGTCCAGAGATAAAGAAGCCCTTAAGTTTAATCGCGTTTCTGTTTCAAACTGTATCTTAATATCCAGATTTCCAGACGAAATCTCTTTAAGTCAAAACATGTTAGACTCAGTGGGGTTCGAACCCACGAAACGAACTAGCCCGAATCGGGGCTGTGTCACCAAAATCAAGTTTCACCTACCTAAAACACTTTTTATTTATATATTAATAGGCTCGTGTACAACCGGCCTTAATCGAAGCAGACGAGATTCCGTGACGACAGTATCGCACCATCCGAATCCCACGTCCAAAACAATCGCGACCCCAGACCTTTGTCTGAACACAAAGCACTCGCACTATCAGCACATCTTCTGCGATGGCCTAAGTGCTGTCTCTCTATCTATTGTGTACGCGGAGCACTAATACGGCACCGTCATTTTGTTTCTATGTCTACTGTGTTATTAATTATTACACTCAACATTGTTAATTAACGATATTGTATGGAAACAAAAAAATACAAATATCTGCTTCGTTTATTTTCTCTACCAGCGGGCAGATTAATACAGCTCGATCGAAATATTGTATTATCCTTCACCCAGATCCTAACCCAGCACTTGCAAGGATGTAACTTACACTACTAATGCTGAAGTTTTAGTTAGTATCTAGAACAAAAGTATAAAAAAAAAGAAAACAACAAACAATGAAGTTCTTTCAACAGTTACATTTTGTACCCGATTTTAAAAGCATATGCATGTATATACTAGCTGGTGTGCTAGTACAATTGGCAATTCTAGGATGTAAACCTTTGCATGATAATAAATCTGTTGCAAATCTAAGGCCCTAACCTTTATTCATGACTGTAAAGTTTTATAATATCATTTCTTTGATTTATGACGAGATGTTCTATATAGGTTTCATTTATTTTTTGACTACCTATTAAATACGGAAACTATTTTTCACAAGTTGCACATGATGGCATTATATAAATTAAACATTGACATTGTAACCCCTGGTTAGGGCAGCAGCAAGGGACACTGCGGATGCCGGTTCTCATCCCGTCCGTGTGTTTTTTCAATATAAAAAGATATTTGATTACTGACTTGATAGTTCACGCAAAGTTATACGACATCACCGTTATATACGACATACCGTCTTATCAGAATTAGATAAGATATTTTTGACTAGAAGTCTTATAAACTTGTACCAAATCATTCATGATTCATGAAAGCTTCCGAAGTTTCACACACTTAAGAACTGAGTCAAAATTATGAGACTTTTATTATTATTTTATTATATTGAATTAAAGGCTAAATTCTCAATTAGACAATCATATAAATATTGACCTATACATATAATCCCCGCATTAAGATGGATTATTAATAGTGTAGTCAATATGAATAATCGATATCGTGATTTACTGTGAGAAGTGGTCGAATTGAACGTAAATGTATTAACTTGGAAAATAACGTAAATATAAGGACGTCTTCAGTATTTGTGCAGTATACTTGACAAATTTTCAATAGCGGTAGAAATGTAGTCATTGCTTGGTTTTAAATCCATAGAAACTTACATAGATAGACATTACATAAATACATGAAATGCCTATCATACTTTTAATCAACTGCGATAAATATAAATTAATAAAAAGCACTCCCCCGTTGTCCTATTTTTCATAATCTAGTTAGACAGTACTAATCTTAAATACTGTCTGAGGCTTACGCGAGTAGTACACATTTAAATAAAACACTTAAACAGTTCAAAACGCGAGATATATTAGTTAACAGCAGCCGCAACGTCGAGCTGTTGTTTAAATAATTTTTAAATAAGTTTAACGAATATATTAAGCGTTTTAAACCGTTGCTTTGTTTAAACGTATTTTGTTTCACCATTGCTTTCTGTTGGATTTTGTTATTTTTTGTTTGATGGTTGATACTCGTTAATAAAATAACGATATAATTTAAAGCACACTTTACCATTCTAAAGAGTATCCGCTTTTCATTGTATTTCATATAGAAGTGAATTCACGTGTCACATACAAATACATACCTGCTTATTGGAATAAGTAGAATTTCTACAGTTAAGTAGCAATGGACAGAGGCTATAGCCTTAAGAGCCTACAGAGGCCAAAGGTAAATAAGCTGTCACCCACAGAGCTTAGGCACAGGGTGATTTGAACAGTGACTATAAATAAGAAATATTCCGTGATATAAAACCACTACTTAGCAAAATATAATAAATTTAATAGTAAAAAGAAGACTTTAGACCTTTTAGTAAAAAGGTTATTATTGCCGAAACCTCGTTTACTCAGCTAATGAAAGTAGTTAAAAAGTCAACTTACGTGTTACTCAAAGCTTTCATCTTTCCTTACTATAATTGATTTAATCTGAAGAATAAAATGTGTTTCAAGATTACTAAAATATGACATACATCTCAATTAAAACTAATCAAGAACTTTTTCTCAGCTTGCCTACTGTCTTTATAATCACTCTGTGTGTGTAGGTTAGATAACAGAGCTTTTCTATTTAGAAGCATAAGATCTATTACAAGATTAGAGTCTAAGCATATACGGAAATGGAGTTCCACAAATATCAGACTAAATCGGAACTGGAATTTATTTATAGTGTGGCAGCTAGAGAATAATATCAAACAAGGTACGTTTTAACCTTATTGTTAATGAAATATTGTTTTCTTAATCTTACTTAAATTAAATAACGTTACTTTTTAATAAACGCACATCTGGAAAAATAAAAGTATGTAAACTTATATTATAAATTAAATTAACTATTGTTCCCGTAGTTAAAAATAATTTTCAAACAAATTTAACTAATATATAACGCGTTTTAAACCGTTAAAGTATTAAAAAAAAACTACTCGCGTAAACTACAGACAGTATTTAAGGTTTTCTACCATCAAAGCAATATTTTCCCACTAGAGAAACACTTATAATGTCAATGTGACAGATTTCATCTTAAGTAAGAAGTAGTATGTGTAGCAGGCCGATTTTTATGCCTCCAAGTTGCCAATGGCCCCATTGAGCCTGGTTATACCCAAAATCCTCCATCAAAGCGAGCATTGCTCACGGCCAATTGCATTGGGAACAAGCCAAACCCATTCACGTATCGCAATGAAGGAAATAAGAGCGATCTATTATTGCAAAGTGCTTTGTGTTTTTAGGAGTTCTAGAAGGAACTTACTCCCTTCTGGAACCTTCTAGATATACCAAAGTGTTAAATAT